TTTATCTGGCAAATTTTCAGTTTACCCCTTGGAATTGCTCTGATATTCTGTTTATCTCGGATGAACGTCTACGTCCAGAGACGCTTAGTCACTTGAGGTAACAAGGGCGGAGGGATGCTGGCTCCGCATCTTAGTCATGTTGTAATCATTACATAATGTAGTCCTTGTCTTGGCACGTAAATATGCACGTCAATATTATCTATCATCCAAGATAATCATCTCGGATTTAACTTAACATCATATCCATCATGCTAAACATGTTACAGCATAGGAAGATACTGATTTCATTGACTATAAACTGTATATATATATATTGTATACGAGAATACATAGTGTATTCTTATCTCGCGTAGGTCCGTATGAATATTTGATAATAAAAAAAGTGGCAGATAACTTTTTTTCTTTAAAAACTAATTGTTTGGGAGCACGTATCATTTGATCTGATCGATTATGTCTGATTGATGAGATACACGAGTTTTGAGTATTGTCCAATCATACTGCCGTTACATGGACAGTGCTTGGTATTTGTAATTTTTTTTTTTTTTTTAATATCAATCATAATTTGTATTTATGGCGAGTCATATACCCTTTTCTTGATCTACAGGGTATCCCGAAAAATAGCTACTACACAGAACGGTACAGTGGCAATGGGGGTGATAAATCCGCGGTGGCATACATTGCCTGGCTTATCCTAGTTTTTTTTTTTACTGGAAGACGAATTCGGCTCTTAAGGTGATTAACGACCGTTGATAAACAAGAAGAAAAAAAAAGGAATTCGGGTAGGAGAGAGCGAGAGAGGGTCCGCTCCTCTCTGTGGTAAAGGTTTGACTCTGCGGAGCCAACCCACCCGGACGACCAATTACGCAAAAACAGAAATCCCCATTCCCTTCGTATACTAAGCTTTTAGAGGCAAAAACTGGAAATAAATAAGATCCAAAGACTGAAAATAAATGAATTATATCTTTTCACCTGAAAATAGTCCATTTCGATTAATTCGAATATCGAAGAATTTTTAAATTTTGAATATCAGCATCCGTTGATCGCTGTACCAAATTCAGGTTCAGATTCAATGTTTGATCAATAGTACAAAAAAAAATTTCTCGAAAAAAATGTGATCCAATCTGAAAATGTGTACTAGAAAAAAAATGTTGTCTCGATCGAGTTTAAGGGTAGTTTTCAATGTTGAGTTTCAATTGGACACTCGTGTGGATTTCATAAAATCTCTGCGGATTGATTTACCAAGAGAGGAGACAAAAAATGAAGAGTCCATGGAAAAAAAAAAAGTTGGAAAATAATCGAAAAAGGACTGTACAATCTTGGAGCCCCCCACAGAGAACCCGAATAAACATAATACCAATAAAGTGACCCTATCCTATCAATTGGGGTTCGGTTTTCAAATCCCGCTCGTATATCCTTTCGATACTTGTACGGAAAAGGGCAGGGCTGTAGCTACTCGCATGGTTACCTCCACGCCGTATACTCCCAATAGCCATGTACACTTTGAAGCACCCACGAGAAGATAAATTATGCGCTCTATAAAATCGAGCGTCGAATATTTTTAACCGGATCGAAGAACTCTACCGTAAATAGGCGGAGTTAAGCGTTGCCAGAAGATACTACGAAGTTTTAGGTTAAGTGGACACTGATTGGTTACCGGACTAAGACAAGCTGAAATTTTTTATTTTTTTTATTTTATGTACTCTCCTTAAAGCTGACAATAAAGTGGGAAAATTGTTTAGATACAATTTTTCAATATATCCGTATCAATGAAAGTTTACCTACGGTGATTTTGTTGGCTTTTAGATAGTTTCGAGTAATTTGTATGTTTTTCGAAATCCTGTTCGCTTCTCGTGGCAGAGCGTAGCTTCTGGTACATGAGGTGGCTGAAGTAATTTCGAAAGAAAGTAAATATCAACCGCGCAGTTGGAAACAACTACTCATCCATTTTTCCAACCTACTTTCGCAGTTGGCAGATATTACATTACTGCTCTTGCCATAGGTTACGTTTTCCTTTTGTTTCTGGCGTCGGGGCTTCTTAAACTTGCGTATGTACGACGTCGCCGCGCACTTCCTGACAGTTCGCTTGCAGCGCTCACGGTAAATTATGGAACTACGGTAAAACGTGGAACCGCGAGGATCCTTGAGCTACTTCGGTATAATACGAGACGTTAGCAAGAATTGCACAATCTTAGTAAAATTTTGAAAATCAAATATTTTTACATTGATAACAAAAATAAAGGGTGTCCCTATCATTATATATCTGTACTATCGTCAATAATTATTCTGCTTTTGGGTAAATAATTTTTATAAATTTTTTTTAGTTATATCTATCCTTATGCATGACAGTAAAAATCCTTACACCTACTCAAGAAATCTAAGAAAATTTCGAAAAAAATTCAATTTTTCAAAAACCTCAACAGCCAATTCCTAGATTTATACCAAAGACACCCCGAGAATTTAATGACAGCCTATAACGATTTCCGCGACTTCTAACACGCTCTAAGAATATTACCCGGTCACTTCCGAGTCGTAAAATCGTCCGTTGAGAATCAATAAAACCTCGGATCCTACGCGTATATAACGATCGACAACCTACTTGCATAATCGTGATTCGCAATACACGCATCCTCTGAATCGACAAGCCTCATAAATTTGACAAAACATATCGATAGAATCTACCCTTCAATTCCATATACGTATACACGTAATACGTAACTCAAAAATACCTCAAGGGTAACACGACCAGTCAGCCATATATGGTACAAGTCTTCTAACCTCAAAAAAAAAAAAAAAAAATTAATTAATCTGATTTACTTTTTATATTTATCCAAGAAAAATTTACTTTTCATTTATTTCTTTGAGAAACTCTCGTATCAATTTGATTACCAAGGACAGGTTAACCCTTATTTGGAAATTTCATTTCTATGAGAGCTATAAGGTTTATACAACGGTATGCCTGGGTATTCCGCAGGTGCTCTTGAACACTTTAGATTTACATATAAACGCGATCCTGCCAAGTCGGTATCCACAAGGCGAACACACGAGAATAGGTGCTCCAGTCGTATAGGACAGACGTACGAATAATTACGTACACTTATACAGTAAACTTGCCCACTTTATTCAACCCTTTCGTTTTGACTTGTTCTGCCTACAAAGCACGTACAGCGCTATACAAATATTTGCAAATTAAATTTTTTTTTTTTAAATTAATTTCCTCCAACATCACACTAAGAAAAAAAAATTATCCCACTTAAAAAAAATTTTCCTCAAATCATACGCATTGGAACTTTTTATTTATTTTTCTCATTAACGTTCAATTAACACTTCCTATGTTATAATCCCATACGTAGCTTTGATTACATAGTTTTCGTAAACGCGTCAATACGGAATGTATAATTAAATTTAAAAGAACCGTTTCGAGCGAGGTATTAAAAAAATACGTAAAATCCTCCATGAACTTTGACCTGGCACATGGTCGATATATATTACGTAACCGAGAGTCATTATGTAAATGACGATGACGTTGCGTCAGTGCATTATATCTAAGTTGCACTCAAGTTATTGCATTTACATATTTATTTTGCTTAGAAGTTCCTTGAGTTACGATAGTGGAAAAATATTTTTGGAAAAAAAATTATATAAGCGCCGCTGTCTACTTGTTTGCAGTTACAAGAAGAAAAGTTTATAAAAATTATGTTTTATATATTCAAGTCGAAGTCATCGTTAGCATTGTTTGAAATTCAATTGAATTTCCATATACGTACACCTACCACCCACCCGCCCCCTATTCTCTTTTCCCCTACTGTTCCTGCTCAATATTCTAAACTTCCTAATCACTAAGGACAATGCTAACCATCTTGACCGTGTGTTTAGTAATGTCATTAGATACGAATTGTAGTTCAGGACACCCTATACATGGACAAGATAGAGAATATATTCTCCTGCCGTGTATAGTTCTGATCTACAATGGAAACCAGGAACAATAGAGTTTGCTATCACGTAACGTGTGTAGCCATTGAATTCGATGTAATTGACAGCAATTTTTTATTTATTTTCCACGTCACTTTGGAATGCAACAGATTCGCGAAGCAGTAATTAAATCTTGTCGGACGTTATACACTGCCAGTCGTATGTAAGTGGAAATTTCGAGTACGGTGTAAATTGTTGAGTGGAAAATTTGAATGGAACTGGAAATTGGCCAAGAGTGTAATTGAAGCATTTGCAGTGATAACACGTATATATGTATATATAATTTAATCGCGTTCGCGTACGATATGGAGATAATTTGAATACATATGTGTTCTACATGAATTTATATATATGTATATAGTTAGTGCTACTCGTATATACTCCGTTAATTGTTGCTCATCGTAAAGTTTGACTTAGCCTCGTTTTTAATTAAAATTGTGAATTTACAGGGCTGAATGAAAATTTGATAAGGAGCTTTATGAGATTTTTGAAAGTCTTTGACGAAAATATCTGGATTATTGAAATGTATTTCGCTCTCGAGTATCTTATTGTCGTCTTCCAAGAAATGGAAATTAGATGTTTATATAACGAAAATAATGCCGGAATATTAAAGAGAATATCGAGTAACGAGACAAAAGGATATAATATTGGATGCTGGCGAGAGAATCTAAGGAAGTTTTATTGAATAAATCAAAGAGTCGTATAAGAGAAATATGAAATTCATTTTTTTTTCATTCAATATTTAAAAAATATTTTATTAACATTTTTCTATTTTATCGCATAATATTCTGTTGTCTCTGTCGGATTAACGGTAGAGTTACTTCGAAGATACTATGTCAGAAGTAACAATGCCCGGCGTTAACGTCATAACATGTCATACGCGTTTGCCCTATTACAATACGAGAGTACAATAATGATAATATTAGCATTAGCCACGAGTCTCATTTAGGAACGTAAAGAACGCCTCACCTCCTGCATCATATTTACATACTCCCTTCTTGCTGTTTACATATACCATCCCCTATTTCCAGGTCCACCCGGGGAGCCAGGACCTCCCGGCAAAAGAGGCAAAAAGGGGAAGAAGGGTGATCCCGGTGAATCAGGTGCACCAGTAAGTACTTCTCCAGCCTTTGAAAGCATTCCCTTTAACAGAGCTATAGTACGTACGTACTATTTTGAACAACCTAACCTTTAGGAACAAGTACGAATGGGCTATAGAGTAAATCATAGTGCACGAACTTTTATCGAACAAGATATAGAATCACGTGCAGAAAGCCTGTACGATTAGTTTGACAAGCCCTTATAAATTAGATACAACGATGCACGTGCGAGATATTGCAATTGTTGAATTTCATTTTTTTTTTAACAATAAAAAATTAGATTGCTTCGCATGGTACATTGTGTTGTTTATTTGTGACGAAGTGTTTTTGTTAATTTTTTATAAACCTTCTTACAGGGTGTCGCCGGGACGCCGGGCAAGAACGGTTTTCCGGTATACTATTATTATTATTTTTTGGTTTCATTTTTTTATTTCTTTCACTCGATCAATTTCATCCATCTTTCTATCGTCATTCTCGATAATTTCATTTTTTTTTTTTTTTTTTTTTTTT